TTTGGAAGAGGGTGAGGATAAGGGACCTGTTCAGGAAGGTTCACTGGAGAGGGCCTTCTCAAAGCAACAAGAAGTCTACTTTATTTTCCAGTTCCCCCAGAGGGTTYTAGGGAGAAATTAATAGACTCTGGATAAGTGCTGGTGCAACAAGCTGCAAATTACTTTCTCTTATGTATTTGTATTTCCCTTTTCTTTGATTCACTTCCTGAATTCTTGCTTTTCTCCTTGACCCGCTTGTTGCTCTTTCTTTGGGGGWGCCAAGGAAATTTAGACTAAGGGACATATTTAGCTCTTAGGATAACCTTCCAGAATTCCTGGGATGCTGTGATCTGATGCTGTTCCTTCAGGCAATCTTGGTGTTGCTGGTGATGGTGCTGCTCTGTGTTATCAGTTACATAGAAAGTCCTTTCTCTCCAGTGCTGCAAATTTTGATATGAAACTAAACAGCACAGTCAGCAAGATTTTTCTGCACCCATCAAGTTGATTGGGGAACTGTCTTGCTGAAAAATCCCCATAAAATTACGTTTTTTTTTTTTGTCCAAAAATATAATTCCTGTGSTTAGTTCTAATGCTGGGTATTTCCTGATGTTTTATATGGTAAAATTGGTGGGCGGCATGAACTGAGGGGCAGAAATCCCAAGCTCTTTGCAGTGGGTTGGGCTTTCCATAAAAATTCTGGGGGAAAAATTGCCCTTGTGCTTGAGAGCTCCTGCTGATGTCCCTGTGGAGGAAGAGAGCGAGTTTATTGCTTTGGAGAAGGGTGTGAGACTGCAGTCTTCATAGTGCTGCCTTATTTACGTGATCATGGTTAACAATTCCTGCACTTCTCCAGCTGTCAGGCAGCTCAGCTCTTCCTCCTTGCTACCTGGAGGGAAGGGCAGGGACACSTTAGTTTGCACAAGAGGTCAGAACTGAAGATGTGATTGCTGCTGGCATCCTGCTCTTGGCTTTATTGCTGTTGGAAAGAACCTAGGTGATAACAGCACTGGGAAGAAGACTTGGAAGCTGTGACAGGCCAGGGGGAGAGGGCAAGAAAGTAATTAAAGGTTTAAAATGGTGCCAAAGACTTGCACTTCGTGCTTTCARTGACCTTGGAGGTGAAGACTTTGTGATCCTTTGTGTTTCACTGTGTGCAGAAGGTGAAATATTGCCAGGTTGGCTGCAAAACATGCTGGCCCAAGGGAGGAGAACCAGTGTAGGAGTTGGTGTCTGGCTTGATGCTGCTGACACAAGAGGAAGAGTGGAGATGTACCAAAAATCAGGGAAAAGGTCRTGAACAAACCAAGGAGACCAAAGTTCCTCAGTCTTTCCTTAAATCCTGGAGCTGCCTATGAAACAATCAAAGGCAGGGAAGAGAGGTGTTCCTGTGGAGCTCAGAGAGAGGTAGGACAGGAACTCCTGTGTGTGTGAAAAAACAGCGACCTGGTGGGAAATGCAGGGGAGTCTGTGGGGCTGGGAGACTGCCTGGGCGGTGATTAAACTGACATTAGTGGGACAGGCAGGAGCAGCATCAGGGACTCTCTTCACGTGGGGGTGATAAACTCTTCAAACACTGGGAAGCTTTGCTGCTTGTGACCTGGCCAGCATCTCCCAAAATAGTCACCTCGCAGTGAGTAACTTCCTTTGCGCTGTTCCCAGCTCTCCCTGGCACGTAAATCCTGTCTCCCAGTTCCTCCTGCCTTCCTGTTTGGAGAGAGGAGGGTTGCTGGGAGAGGCCTTCCAAGGGTCCTTGAGCTGTTGGGTTTCAGCTGGGAAAGTCCGCTGCTGGGCTGGGAGGGAGGAGCAGTGTCAGGGTTACATCCTCTGTCCCTGCTCCTGGTTCTGAGCTCCCAGCCTTCACCTGTGCTGCTTGGGAAGAGGGACATGCTGCCGTTCCTCGGGCGTTTGCTGCGCTTCACTTCCGTTTCACACGCATCTGAACTCTAGATTAGGCTGCTTCTCGCTGAAATGTGTTCCTGGTGGGAGGGGGAGCCAGCAATTATCCCTGCTGCCAGGACTGCATTTTCCCACAGAGCCTGTTCTCGGGGCTGGGAGCCTTTTGCTGACTTGTCTGAGGACTCTTCTGGGTTTGAAGACAAAAGCAGGAGCAGCTCCTGTCCTTCCTGCAATCATTTGAGGAAGGATCAGAAGAGCTCAGATGAGGGATTTGGATCCTTAATTCTTCCCTCCCTGCTCCTGAAGGTGATGATTGTGCTTGTGTTGAAAGCAGACTCTGCAGATTTCCTTGTCCYATGTGGCCTACAGCAGATGGGATGAGGTTTCTGCTGGACCTTTCCCCATCCCTGTTGTTTCCAGCTGTGTAGATTTCAGCATTTCTGTCCAGCAAAACTTGCTTTGGAGCTACTGTGTGATGCTTTCTGCCTTCCAGAGCAGGGGGGGGGGACTGCATGGAAGGGTGATGCTGGACAGTGTTTGCAGTCTGGAATTCAGACAGGCAATCACCTCCCTTCCTCTTCAAGTGGTTGGAATAAACTCTATCACCACAGTTCTCCTCTCTCTCCGTGCTGAAAGGAGCAGGGAGGAGGCARTACACACTTGCCTGGTTCCACGGATCCCTGCTAGGATCTCTGCTCCGCGGGAGAGCCGGCAGGAAGGACAGGACACCGGTCCTGCGGGCTGCTGGCTCTGCAGCACCCTCTGGTGTTGCTGTGTCTGTCCCTTGTCTGCTCGTTTTGTCCTTTCTCTCCACGACGTGACAGGAGGAAAGCACAAGGAGGAACCACGGGAAGRAATTAATGCTCTCATACATATTCAGTTGCTAAACATCAACCAGTGGCTGGCTTATGTATGCCATGGACTAAAMCTGATGTAATTCCTCTTCATGTGTTCCTTGTGTATGGGCTGAAACCTTCCTTTTCATAATCTCCAGATGGAATGAATCCTGATTTTATTTTAGGTGCTGTGGAATTGCAAAACTATCTGCCCTTTTATTTTTTTTTTTTTTTTTTTTTTTTTTTTTTTTTTTTTTTTTTTTTTTTTTTTTTTTTTTTTTTTTTTTTTTTTTTTTTTTTTTTCCTTCTATGATAAAAAAGTTCAAGAGCTCTGTGGTCTTGCTGTCTGACCTATCCTGACAGTTATTTTAGAGAGGACACTCAGGTTTGAAGAGAATCCTTCCTCCTTTTGTTGTCTCGATAGCCACCACTCAGGTGGTGACACAAGGAGGACACAGTTGTTTTCTTCTTTCCCCTGCATCAGATGTCCCTGTTTTGCCAGCACTGTAGGAGCAGCATTTTGAACTGGAGTTCTTACAGTGAAGGATGAAACTGAAAGAATCTATGGCTCTTTGTAGTTGCACTGTTGTAATATTTAAAAGAAATTTCACAAAAATCAAGAAAAATATTCCTATTTAAATATTCTGCTGTGAGCTTTTAGCTTCTGCCTGGCTGTGCTAATTTATTCTTCCCCTGTTTGTTGTTTTCCACTGAAACACCCTGCTGGGATGCAGATGAGGTCATCCCAATAGTCAGGTTTTGGGGTTTGCTCCATATGTCCTGTTATCCTGCATGTCTGCAGCATCCCATTGTTCTGYGTGCAGCACTGGCATTCATATTAATTCTGGGACTAAGCTCCTGACTTGCTCTTGGCACTCACTCTGGTTGCCATGCTGCTGTCCCAAATTCCAGCTGCATTAGGAGAGAGCCCTCCTGGCCAGTCTGCAAACCCTGCAGCTCCCATGGCCACCACCAGCAGTGCTTTCTGGAATCTGGGAAAACCGAGGGCTGCCTGGGTCTGCCCATGAGCAGCGTTGGAAACCTGCACTGCAGTTAAATTGCAAAGATACTGTATGTGAATGATGTGTAAAGACAGCTGAGTAGGGGGTGTGTAGCTGGAAATGGGGGAAAATCATCATCCAGAATGTGGATTTGGTGTTCAGAGGCTTTTGTTGAGGGGGAAGAGTGGCCCCAGCTGTGTTGTGGATGGTTGTCCATTTTGGATGGCTTGGGATAGAGGATATGTAGTAGCCACATGGATTCGACTCCTGAATCTGCTGAAACCAGTGGTGAGGTTTTGCTTGTGCTACCAGAGAGGGTCCAGCAGAGGCCACAAAGATGATTTGGGCTCTGGGGAACACTCTAATAAGGAGAGACTGCGGGAGCTGGGCCTGTTTAGTCCAAARAGAAGACTGAGAGGGGATCTCATCATGTAAATGTCTCAAAGGTGAGTTTCAGGAGGATGGTGGCAGACTCTTCGGTGGTGCCCAGCAACTGGATGAGGAGCAATAGCTATAAGCAAAACACAAGAAGTTCCACTTCAACGTAATGAAGGAGTTCTTTGTGCTGAGGGTGGCAGAGCACTGGAACAGCTGCCCAGGGAGGGTGTGGAGTCTCCTTCTCTGGAGAYATTCCARACCCACYTGSAGGTGYCCCTGTGTCACCTGCTCCAGGTGACCCTGTCTGGACAGGAAGGTTGGACTGAATGATCTCCAGATCATCTTCCAACCTTAACACTTCTRTGATTCTGTGAGCAGAGGTGGGATTTCTTCTGTCTCCCTCGCCAWGGTCTGACACTACCCTGGTCTTTATTCTTGTTCTTGCAGAACATCCAGAAGATGCTCGGCCTTGCTCCTTCCCGGGCTGCCACCAAGCAGGCAGGAGGCTTCCTGGGCCCCCCACCTCAGGCAGGGAAGTTCTCCTGAAGCACAGCCCTCACGGAAAGCCTGACYAGTGCAACAAGACTGCCTCGAGGAGGTGGCAAGACAGGATTCTGCACTGGCCATCACCTGTCCGAAACCAGGCAGTGCACTACTGAAATCATCATCCATTTGGAGTAATCCACCAGCAGTTGTTCGTTCATCCAACCAAGAAACTTCTCCCGGAAGATAACGCGACCTTTGTTTCTGAGAAATAAACGGCATGGGCATGTTAATTGATGTTAACGATGTCTGTTAATTGGGTGTTGGAGGCTGCCGCTGGCCGCGGATCGGCTGGCYGGGGTCCGGCACGCCCCGGGCTGGGGCGGTCCCCGCGGCCCTGCCGGTGAAAAGCCGTCCATGGAAGAGGCGGTGCCTCTCGGCCGCGGCGCCTGACGGGATCCCGCCGATGTTGGCACAGTCCCGGCTGCCCAGCCTCCTCCTCCTGCTCCCCCGGCTGCGCGCAGTCGCTCCCGGCCTCGCCATGAGCTCCACCACCGGCACCGTCACCGTGCAGCAGCCCCTCAACTACCGCGCGGGTGCCCGCGTCCAGCCGGCCGACGGCGGGCAGCTGGAGGAGGTGTTCGAGCCGGCCACAGGTACCGGGGAATGCCGCCTTCAGCGGCAGGGAGAGCCTCTGTGCCCGCGGGGTGCCCKCGGCTTGTCCCGCAGCTCGCCTGTGCGGGAATCCTGCACGCCCCGCTGCTGTGGTGGCTGCGCGCTGCTTCAGCGTTTGCCCGCCGTCACTCCTTACTGCAAAAGTCAGCTCTCAGTCAGAYACAAAATGCCTGATTTTGGCAGCAACCCACGAGTTAAAATATCTCTCAAATGATGTAATTTTAGTTATCGGTACGGAGCGTTCACCAGAATCGCTTCAGGARTGTTTAACCGCGCTGAGGAATGTGTAACAAAAATCCTGGAGAGGGTGGTAGAAGTGTAACAAGCTCCACTGAGAAACACAGGAATGTTGTAACAACTGGAGCTAATTAGTAGCTAGAACACGACTGTGGAGAATGTCAGCTYTTTCAATTCAGACGAGCTCAAACATAGCACTTCTTCTATGGCTGATTACAAATCAGTGGSTTTCAGTGGGAACCACGGGGGAAGTTTTGTACCTGGTATAGGTGGCTTGACTGAAGTATGTGGTGTTTGGTGCAAGAGAAACCACGTTCTGGGCCCCTTTTCTGAGATTCCTATCTCATTTATTCCCTGTTTAAAACGTGCCCAGGTCGTGTGCTGTGCAAGGTGCCCTGCTCTGGGGAGAAGGAAGTTGATCTGGCTGTGCAGAGTGCAAAGGCTGCCTTTAAAATATGGAGTCAGATGTCGGGCATGGAGCGATGCCGGGTGATGCTGGAGGCTGCCAGAATCATTCGGGTATGTTGGGGGGAGAGGGGTGGCTCTGTGGCTCTGTATTTGTGGGTTGTTGTGGCTGTTGGGGGCTTCAGCAGGASTTCCAGAGCTCCAGGAGGTGCTCAGGAGTTAAAATCCACCTTTGGCCAGAAAAGACAGGAGGCTGCCTCAGGCAGGGCTTTGCTCTTATCACTGGAGTCAGTGTCCCTGCGTGCAGYTTTGGTCTTATCACTGGATTCAAGGCCAGTGTGTGCCTTCTCAGCTTAATTCTGTTAGAAGACATAAAACTGAAGCCAYCCAGTCGACATCTTGCAGGGCTTGTGCTTCTTTTAACAGCCCCAAAGATTAAATTTCACTGCACACAGTTTCAAAGTTGAAATTGCATAACTGGCATTGTTGAACTTTTGGCTTGTCGGAGGCTGTTGTTACATGACTGGGATGTGTCTTGGTAATAAGAGAAAGTTGCAATACTAGAGTTAATCTATCAGATAATATACATGACATAAGTGAGCTCTAACACAGACTCCTTTCTGAGATAAYATGTTCTTGGGCATCAGAGTTAATCTCCGTCAAGGCACAGATCTGTAAGAACCCAGATCTTCTTTCCCCAGTGTGTATAAATCATGAGAAAACTGTTTTCTTTATGCCAAACTTCTGCTTTTGCCAGACATCCAGAGCAAGATAATATTTCTGCCTGGCAGCTGCTCTGTTAAAGGATGCTTCCCAGCTGCATTGCTTTGCCCCTCTTCAGTGTCCTCTGGTTCCATCCTGATCTTGCTGTTTGCTCTTCCCAGTTTAGTTCTGCGAATTCTAATCATTGTTTGCCAGCTGGCTTCTAAGTTCATGTTTGTTCATCTTTTAGATAAACAGGAATGTTAAACAAGACTGGACCAGCAGTGAACCCCAGCACTTTTCTCTTTGACATTCCCCTGTGCTCAGTCACCATGGGGAAATTGATAAACAGCAATTGGGAATATGGATTTCACTATTTCTCATGGCAGAGTCTTGTTTGGGACTTGAGTACTTGGGAAGTGGATGTCTCCTTGTGGAGTTTTGCTGCAAGCTTCTCTAACATGTTGTGTCTGTCCTGTGCCTCTCACAGGAGCAGAAGGAGGAAATTGCCATCATGGAGACCATCAACAATGGAAAATCCATCTTGGAAGCCAGAGCGGACATCGACACATCCTGGCAGTGCCTGGAGTATTATGCAGGGCTGGCAGGATCTCTGGCTGGTGAGGACCTTACTGGAGTTTGCTCTTTGCTGTCTGTCCCACAGTCCCTGGTAATTCCAACAGCACAAGGCCATCTTTGCTGCTGATTTCTCTAAGAGATGGACTATTCCTTTTCCTGAAGATCTTTAAAGGATTTTAAGAGGTCTTTGCCCAATGCAGCCATGCTCTGTAGCAAATCACAAACCTTCTGTGAGCTTGCTGGGTAAAACTGTGACTCTGCTCCCAGGCAAAGCCAGATCTGACCTCTGGGGGCTCTGATCAGACAGGAAGGGGCTTTGCTCTTTTTACCTTCTGGCTGTTTCTTTGCAGGTGAACACATCCAGCTCCCTGGGGGATGCTTTGGGTACACTCGGAGAGAGCCTCTCGGGGTGTGTGTTGGGATTGGAGCCTGGAATTACCCTTTCCAGATTGCCTGCTGGAAAGCTGGCCCRGCCTTGGCTTGTGGTAAGGGAGACTTTCTGCCCACACAAGTGTCTCTTCAAAGCCAAACGATCCTGTGGGGGAGAGTGATTTGAGGGATGAAGTCTAGGATTATCTTCAAGTGTTGAAGGATTAGCAGAACGTTACTCTGGCAGGAAGGGAAGGGAAATGGAAGGAGGAACGTGTCAGATGTCAGGAGGTTAGGAGTGCATCAGGAAAAATGCTGATAGTTTGGCTTTGTACCAGATGGGAAAGGTCTCTGGAAATGTCTGCAGGGCAAGACCAGCAGCCMCATCTCCCCCAGCCCTTCCCATGAGGAAAAGCAGCCTTTTGTTTATTGCAGTGATCAGCTGAAAGTGTTTCCTTCTCTCCGGGGGGAAACCTCTGGGATCTGTTGAGACAAATTCATTGTGTRGGGTGGGGGTTGTTTTTGTTGTTTCCCTGAAGCAGTTTGGGTGTTAACCCCACCTTGCCTGTRTCTGGGTTCCCTTAGGCAATGCGATGGTCTTCAAGCCTTCACCCTTCACCCCCATTTCTGTGGTGAGGTTGGCAGAGATCTTCACAGAGGCYGGAGTGCCCAAGGGACTCTTCAACGTGGTGCAGGGTGGGGCRGCCACGGGCCAGTTCCTCTGCCAGCACCCAGATGTGGCCAAAATCTCTTTCACTGGCAGTGTGCCAACTGGCATGAAGGTAAAGGCACCTTGAAAGCAGGGGTGTGTAGCTGATACCTCCTTGAGCTTTTCTGCACCAGGCTTGTGGAGGTGAGGTGCATGGGAGTCAGTGGTTTTGGGACTGAGCAAGGAGCTTGCAGCACATACAGGGTCATGATGGGTATGGGCTTGGGAGAGGAACCTCTTGGTCAGCTTCACTTGCTTAGCCCTCAATTGTGGTGAAGTCTCAGATGCTCAGGTGGATGTTGATGTCAGGAGGAGAGTACTCAAAACAGCAGCACTGGGAAAATGTGTGTTTTGGCTTCAACAGATCACTAAAGCTGCACGCAACCTACTGTTTTTAAGCAAGAGGTCAGTTTCTGTGAGGTTTTTACCCTCAATTTATTATTCAGAAATTAAAAGCCCCTAGAAAGACTGTCAGAAATAAATTCTGATTTGAAGGAGGGGAAGTGTTGTCCCTTGAATGCTCCCTACATGTGGGGTACAGTGACAGATGCAACTACAGCTGCCTGCAGCTTACACTGAACATGAGACTTCCTGCAAACACCTCTCTAGTTTTTTGGTTTTTTTTTTTTGTTTTATCTATTAAAAAAACAAACCCCAAACCCTCTGACGCTGTCCTCAATCTGAACTAAGCACATATAGGAAACCCACTTGCCTTTCATGCTGCTTCTCTTTCCCTGAAGGGACTCTCCCTTTGGGTCTCTCTCGCTCTCCCCACCAGCCTTCCCTTTGTCCAGTGGGTCACTTATCTCTCCTGTGCTTGTTTCCCTCAGATCATGGAGATGGCAGCTAAAGGGATCAAGCCAGTCACCCTGGAGCTGGGGGGTAAATCCCCTCTTATCATCTTTTCGGACTCTGATCTGGAAAATGCTGTGAAGGGAGCCCTCATGGCCAACTACCTTACCCAGGGCCAGGTGTGTGTCCRTGGGGCAGGAGTGCTCCTTCCCAGGGAGGCAGGGTGGTTCCAGAATTGGGCACTGGGGCCAGCCTGTGACCTCGTGTGGTGAGGGTCACACATGTCCTGAAGTTCCCATCTTGTCACTCATTTCCCTGGGTGGTGTCAGAAGGGATGCCCTTGCCAGAGCCAGRGCAGAGTGTCCTGGCAGAAAGTGCTTTAGCCAGTGCCCTGTCCTTCGTGGACATGGAGCCTCCCTGACACCCAGAACTCAGCTTCTCCCGTGCCCTGAGCTCCAGTGTGGCACTCACAGGTCAGGAAAAGCTGTGCTGGTGTCCCTTGGATGAGCAGCAGGTTCCAACCTGGTGTGCTGAGCCACAGCACTGTGGGGTTCTGTCCTTCCCAGATTTGGGATATCCACATGTGCCACAGGCTTCGTGTAATCCTGTTGGCAAATTTGCTCAGTGGAGTCATTTCTGGGAACTCAGAAGTCAGCTCAAGGTCTCTGCTGCTGGTGACCTGGTGTGTTTTTGCCACCTGGTGGCATCAGAACCACTGTGTCCAGCAAGGACTGTTCAGTGCAGCCGCAGCCCCAGGGTGAGAACATGTCCTTGTCCCCAGGGACAATTTAGCTATTGTGGYAGCTGTGGAGGGGCTTTTCCAAGAGCCTCTGGAGCAGGACCCGAGCAGGGAAGGACTGTGGAGTGCTGTGTTTCCTATTCTGAGCTGTGTGTCCTGTATCCCAGGTGTGCTGCAAYGGCACCCGGGTGTTTGTGGAGAGGAAGATCCTGGATACCTTCACCAAGGAGGTGGTGAAACGCACCCAGAAAATCAAAATTGGAGACCCACTTCTGGAGGACACACGGATGGGAGCCCTCATCAACCGGCCCCACCTSAATCGTGTGCAGGGTTTTATCAAGCAGGCAAAGGAGCAGGTGAGATTGTGGTCTCTCTTTTTAGCCAGAGCTGTGGCAGCTGGGCAGGATGCTCCTGCATGTGCTACATCCCTTCCTCTTGGCTCTTTCCCAGGGGGCAGAGGTGCTGTGTGGTGGGGACCTGTACGTGCCAGATGACCCAAAGCTGAAGAAYGGCTACTACATGCGACCCTGTGTGTTAGGTATGATCCATCGGGGTCACCGTGCCATGGGTATTGTGGAGTTTCTTTCAGAAAAGCTGAGTCCAGCATAACCTGGCCTTCTGTGTGTCCCCAGCATGAACTGGCACTTGGAGGGGGTGCTAGAGAAAGCTGAGGYTCCCAAAAGCTGCATCCAGGGAAATGTGTGCTGTTGGGAGCCTGACAGGAATGGTGCAGGAGGTGCTTTTGAGATGCAGGGTGTGCCTGGCTGCTTTGCAGGGAGGCTGTGCAGGGCTGAGCGCTGTCTCCAAGGCTGTGTGGGTTGCTGAAYGCACAGGCTGTGCTGCTGCTCTTCCTCCTGAAGCACTTGTGCTCTGCCATGCTTCCAGGGAACTGCAAGGATGACATGACATGTGTGAAGGAAGAGATCTTYGGGCCTGTCATGGCCATCCTGCCATTTGACACCGAGGAGGAGGTTGTGGAGAGAGCCAATGCCACCAAATTCGGCCTGGCAGGTGGTGTCTTCACCAGGTATGACTGGGCAGCGTTCTGAAAGCATTCTAGGGAGGGGAAATGCTGCAGGGATTTGCTGCTCCTCTTGCAGTGCCTTGGCATGGGCATGAATACCAGAGAAGCTGGAGCAAGGGATTGCCAAAAGGGAAATTTATAAATGAATGGCCATTTAGTTTTTCCTGAAGTGTTGGGTGGGCCCAGCTGTCCTTTGGGCTCCTCCCAGCCTGGCTTGGCCTGCTGCCTGCCTTCCTGCATCTCCAGGATGCACCGGGAGCCTGCTGTTGGCTACTTGCCCCWCTCTGCATTGCTGGTGTCCTTGTCCTGGCTTCCCAAATCAAATCAGTGTCCTTGGGAATCAGTGCCACCTTCTTCAAGCAGGCAGGCYGAGCTCCACAAACCAGTGTGGCCTCCTAGCCTTTCTCCAGCAGGGTGTCACCTGGCAGGGAAGGTGGGGATCCAGCTGAATTGCCCTTTTCCTGCAGGGATATCCAGAAGGCTCACAGGGTAGTGGCTGCTCTCAAGGCCGGGATGTGCTTCATCAACAGCTACAACGCCAGCCCTGTGGAGCTGCCTTTCGGAGGCTACAAGCACTCAGGTGAGCTCTGTGTGCCCTCTCCTGGCACGTGCCAGCTGCAGGGGTGGTGAGTGGCACCTGGCACTGCCTGGAGCTGTGTTCTCACTCCGGCTCTTCCCTGCAGGATTCGGCCGGGAGAATGGCCGGGTAGCCATCGAGTACTACTCKCAGCTGAAGACTGTCTGCGTGGAGATGGGGGATGTGGAGTGTGTGTTTTAGTGGCTCTGGGGAGCATCAGGCAGCTCTTGCCTGTCAGCAGAGATGTGGATCATGTACACACTAATGAAATACCCTACAATTGTCAATGCCGGGGGGAAGCAGAGCTGGAGCAGCATTTGGCCACCCTGCTCCTGCAGGGGAGAATGTCCACACAGGGCTCAGCTCTGCCCTGTCTGCYGGACAATGGGAAGCTCAGAGCAGGAGGCACCAATCTGGCTTTGGCAGCAGCTCCTGCAGCCRCAGAGGAACTGTTACCAGAGGTTTGTCAATGGCCAAAGCCAGGCCCAGGCTTCCTGTGCTGTGTGCCTTATTCCCATTGCGTTCCACTCTCCCTCAGCTTCAGTTCTGGCTTCTTAACAGGTAGGACCCTACTCAATGCACGTATAAGCTCTTGGACATATGGATATCCTGTAGCTGTAGACCTTGTCTATACTGTGACTAYGTAAATGCCTTAAGTGTAGCATTGTTTATTCCCTCTAGAGCCCTGGTAACCTCAACTTTTTTTCTATCTTTTTTCTATCTTTATCTTACTTACAAGTGAGACAAATCATTGTGGGGAGAGTTGGCTGATGCTGCCAAGGCCAGGCATGGCCCTGAGAATCCCCTCCACACAAGAGTGGTGGCAAGCTCCAGCACAGAATAGTGAAAGCTATCTCACTTCCTTCCTATAAACTTACTGTTCTTTATACACAATGAAGCAACAGCTTTAAATGTTTGCCTACTTTAAATGTTTGTCTTTTCTTTAGCAGCCAAATAAATACTAACGCTGGAATTTCTTATCAGTGCAACATGAATTGAGGGGTCTAGAAATGGGGTTGCTGCTGTATGGGTTAAATGAGTTGCAAGGTGGTTTTYCAGTCACTAAAATCATTAAAGCTAGAAAGCACATCACTGCCTGAGGGACAGATTTCTGTAGTCCTATAAAACCAGAGTTGTTCTAATATTCTGCAGGGCTTAAGAAAACCCTCTGCAACTTTAGAATGAAAATACAGAATTGACATCTTCCTTTTATTGAATAAGAAAAGGGGAAAAACACAAGAAGCCAAGTGTTCTAAAAGAAAACAGAAGAAAACTGCCTTCAGCTTCTCAGGCAGCCCTGGTGGTGGCAGGCCCAGCCCAGGTGCTGGCAGGCTGAATACACGCCTGTGCCCACCAGCCCAAGGAGTGCCACRGAGCCAAGGGCCCCTCTCCTTCGGTTTTTGGGATCTGGAAAAAAAAKGCAGGATTTGTCAGTTCACTGAAAGACTGGGCCATCCTGGAAATTGAAGAGGGAGCAGGAACTAAAGGTAAATCCCCAGGGCAAAAGAGCAGGCACCAGTTCAGGCCTTTCAGGGTAGGTATCCCTACTGGATGAGTGCTCATCCCAGCAGCAGGAAGAGCGTGCTGCAGTGATAGCAGCCTCTGGACCTGCACCCTTTCCTCCAGATCTGACTGGGAGCAGAGTCCYGAGGTCACTGYAGGGGACCTGAGTTTCCCCCAGCASCCTSTGTGTGCTGCAGGGTACAGACCTACCTCCTGTGTAGTAGCCATAGGCATAGAGGAGTCTCCCAATGATCCAGGCGACGCCAAGCCCTGTGGCAACCCGCTGGAGAGAAAGGAGAAGCATTAAAGGCTTTGGAGAGCCAAAGTCATGCAGGCACCAGGTGCTGAATCTCATTTCACCCCTGTCCAGACAGTGAGCYAGAGTGAGGGCCAGGATCTCAGAGGCAGCTGCTGCTCCAAGCCCTGCTCCACTGYCTCCAGCAGGTGTTCCAAACTTCCAGCTTGACTCTTAATTTAGAGCTTGCTCCAATGTGCCTCCCATTTGCCAGATGTGCTTATGCTGCTTCCTTCCCTCTTGGAAAAGAAGTCTTCAGGAAGGACCTAATTTGTCTTTTGATGGCAAAACCAGAGCTACTGGATTTAGCCTCTCCCATGTGCCTGCCTCCTCCTGAGTTGTCTGCATCTTTCAGTTAAAAATAATCMAGGCTTTTGTTGACCTCCTTTGGCAGGGCTTGGGAAAACTGGGCTGGAGGGATCCTTCCCACTCAGTGACTGGAGGCTGCAAATGCTTTGCTTTGTCTCACAAGGCACCTTTAGGGGAAGGATAGGGCTCTAATAGCTGGAACTGCAGTAATGAGTTCATTACTTGTGATTCTCCTGCAGAAGAGCCCTCTACAACTAAATTTTCGGAAGGAGCACTGCTATTAAGTGTGATGTGGCTACTGAAGGGGCTGTCTTGGGCCTCCTGCTCAAATCAGGAAGCAAGAGCAGAGTTCTGTATCACTTACCGGGTGGTAGAGTCCACCAGTGCCTAAAAAGAACAGGAAGGCAGGGTAGACTTCCAGTCTGAAAATAAAAGTGAGGAGGTTGTGTTGGTGCTCAGATTGCTTACAAAGAGRAAACCCCAGAAAGGCAGAGGCTGCAAACATCCCCTGCCAAGGGCACTTTGGGCTGATGATGAGTCTGTGCTCAGTGCTGTGGCTGAGGAAAGAAGGGATCTGAGCATGCACAGAGTTTTAGTGCCTTCCCCTCAGCCTGTGCCCCTCTCCCAGGTCACCCACCCACTCACTGTCCATTTCAATCCTAAGCCACTCTAACATTCCCCGGGAGTTGTTCCTCCCAGCACCCTCTGATGCACTGTTGCAGCCTGTCCACAGGACCTGGGTGGACTTTGGCCTCTCTCCAGGGAGACCTGGGCAGCACAACAGAAACAAGACTCCTCGTGTCTCAAGATTGACCCCTGGAAGCACATTACCAAGAACTGGGGAAGAGGAGACTGCTGCACAGCACCATCCCACGGTTTAAGGCACGGGAAGGAGCCAGCACAGCCTTCCTGCTAAGCACTGCAGGGCTGTGTGCTGTGCCCAAGCACTGAGCCTGGATCAAAGCAGTGCAGCAGCACCTCTGGGGTAGCAGCAGCACCTCTGGGGCTGTGTCCCTGTCCCTCAGTGCTGTGTGTTCCCAGGCCCCCGTTCACAGTGTCACTCACGTGTTCTGGTGTGCGCGCTGGATGCAGTTGAATATCTGCCCGTGTTCAGGGTGTGTGCTGTACATGGCCGGATACTGCCAAAAAACAAACCAGCAGCAAAGCATCAGCAAGAGTGCCCTGCAGCTCCTCTCCCCCGGAGCCAAGGCTGCCTGGGTGATGGCGAGACCGACCTGCAGGGGCAGGTTAGAGCCTGTCCCTGCTCTGGGGCCCMCAAGAGCTGTGCTCAAGGTCACTGCCTTCCTGGAGCTGCTGCCTGGCTGCAGAGGCTCCCCCAGGCCTCAAATGTAGCCCTTTGTGCACCATACACACTGGGTGCATCTGCTCCAGTTGGAACAGGATCACCCCAACAGGCAGCAGGAGCTGTCCTTGTGCCCATCCCGCTTGTCACTTCCGTGAGTGAAGTGGTGAAAGAGCAAAGGAGCTGTGGCTTGTGCTGGAGCCAAGTGGCACARCAGCCTCTGCATGCCATGGCCCTGACTCACAAATGTCCCCACCCAGCCCACAGCCCTGCCTGCCTTAAAGGCTCCCAATGGATGCTGAGGGAAGGTCACTTGAAAGACTTTTTGTGACAGGGCTCACATCGTCCCCTTGAGTTTGAGAAACCCTCCTATCACTGTTGTTTTACTATGATCCTTTACTCCCATTGTTGCATCAGGCCTTATTTTCAAAGAAAATGGGTTGGGCAGTTTCTCGCCCATCAGTGTTGCCAAACTCAAAGCTGTGTGCTTTCAGCTTGGTGCCAAGTGCCTGATGTCCCAAATCCTGAGCTTTTATGCTTTCTGCAGAGCCATGGCAGCTCCAGCCCTTCTGCATCCGTGTGGTGGGGCAAGAATGTCAGCTAGTCATCCCAAACTGAGCAAGGTGTCACCTGTCTTGTCAACAGACTGGCTCCAGCCCTGCCAACCCCTCAGCCTGAGCACTCACCTCCACRTTGTACTTCTTGCGGGCCTTGCCCACATTTATGGCGAGGTGCATGACCAGGACGAAGCTGGCRGCCCCAGTCAGCATGACGTAGCCATATTCCTTGGAGAGAACAGCCATCGTGGTGCTGCAGAGAAAGGGAGCCCAGGAATATTTTGGGGAGTGGCAACACATGATTTGTGTGCATGGAAGAGTTGCTGAGCTTGGACCCCAGAGCTCCCAGCATGGGGACTTGCTGAAGGGAGAAATGGTAGCTGAGGCAACCTGTATCTCTTGGAGCCTGCACAAACCAGCAGTTCTCTGCATAGTTCCTGCCAAGCAAGCCTTAAAATCCTCAGCATTGGTGGGAAGTGGTGGCTGGAGAACCCTCGTCCACCCTGGGCAGAAACCATGGCCCCTTCAACCCCAGAGTTAGGGGCCACCAAATGAAGTCAGTTCATTTCCAGCCTGTTCCCTAAGAGAGGTGTTTCTTCACATGGTRGGAACCAGACCTGTGGAACTCCCTGCCAAAGGACATTGGGAATGCAGGCAATTCTCACWAATTCAACAGGAAACTGGGCAAATGCAAGGGATGAGTCAATTTGGGAATAAAACCTGGCTCAGAAATCCCCAGAGCTGGAAGGAGGTGGGCTACACGAATGATTAATTTGTACTGCTAATTGTACTTACATAAAATACTAATAAACCCCACCACCACAGCAATGATAAATGAACCTTTTGGRTCAAGAGGCACTAGCCAGACGAGTGATGCTCAGCTCTGCAGCTCTCCCTCCAGCACYGAGATAATTTTCCCAATCAAATCCCAGTTGGTGCCTGTCTCCAGATGGTGCCTGCACGATGCAGTGAGGTTTTGGTGTCTCCTGCATGGTGCCACCAGCAAAATCTGTCAGTGTGGGGAAAAACAGGCCACCTCATGGAAGTGGTGCAAAGTCTTCCTATGGCAGCAGCACCCGCACCCCTCACAAGGAATCTTTGAGGGTTTTCTCATTTGCAAAGGATTATCACCAACGGAGCAAGGTGAAGACAACAGCYGACTTTGTCCACAGGATATGTGGTAAACAATTGTGAGCAAGAATATTAAAACCTTGAAGTAATGAAGAAAAGTCAGCTGCATGCACGCACCTGTAATTGAGGTTAGAACCCGACAGGTGACACACTGAAAACAGAACATGTTCCCACCCAGTAGAGCAGGTTGGTGGTCACATTTCCCCCTTCAAATTACAAGGTTGGTGGAAAACCAGGCATTTTATCTTTCAGCACTAAATTATAATCTGGGGATTTATCTTGGGAGCAAAGAGCACGGCCAAGCATTAAKCTGGGTGTGTCATAAAACTGCTACTCTTACTACTGATACAAAACTGTGCCTCAAGCCTTTGCTCTCGTAATTTGGAGCCATATAAAGCACTCCAAAGTCACCAGGACTCTCACGGTCGTTTCCGGATTGTGGTGCCCCAAGGGTTTCAGCAACCTTTGCCCGCAGCTGCAAGGGCTTTGCTGACAGGCACTGTCGCGATGCACAAAGCTCAATTTCTGCCTTTCACACTGCGATGTTTCCGGCTGCAGCCACACACACCAGATTTTGGAGCACGACACGGCACAGAGCGGCAGCAGAACAAGGGGTCCTTCCCAACTCTGCCACAATACTGCAGCTACTGTGAGTCAGCAAAGCGCATTAAGGCTCCTTGAACCGACCTGCACGTGGATTCAGACGGGATTACCCGATGTAAASGCAGCCTTTCGAGCCAGCAGAGCCTTTTGCCTTGCCGTGCCCCTGTTCGCTCCCGGGGCTGAGCCCTCCCCAGCCAGGAGGGGCCAGGCTCCGCCTGAGCTGCCCGTGCGGGGGKCAGGCAGAGCTCCGCGCCCTGCTCATCCCGCAGCCCCCTTTCCCYCGGAGCGTCCCCCGGCTGGCAGATRTCCACRGCGCTTCCTCCATTTTCCATCGGGACAACCTGCGTCACCGTGCCCTAGGAGCATCCCCCGCCTCCCCGGCCCCGCTCCCGGAGGGGCAGCTGGAGGTGCCCGGCCCTGCACTCACCCTCAGCGCGGCGCGGAGCAGCCCAGGCGCTGCGGGACGGAGCCGGGGACGGGCACAGAGCCGGGGGCAGCAGCGGCAGCGGCGGCGGGACAGCCCCGCCCGCAGCMCCGCCCGCAGCACCGCCCGCAGGCGGGGCCGGGGCTCGGCCAGGCGCGATCAGTCTCACTGCTGCGAGAGCGGAGTGGGACGGGGGTTCGTGTGGATCTGCTGCGGCATTGGCCGTGCCGCTGTCCACCAGCAGCTCTGCCCGTGTGCCCAGCACACTGACATCCTTATCCTCATCCTTTTCTCCATATCCATTTTGCCATAGCCTTTACAGCAAAGAGCTCTCAGCTTTGATTTGGCAGTCTGCAATGTAATGGCTCTAGGTTGGGTAATTTATCTCGTGCTTGCTGAAATCTCCTGGTTTCCCCTTTTATCTTACCAGCCCCTGCACTGTGGGCTGAAGCTGCCAATGTTTCACACACGGAGTTGCTGTGCTGGGTCATGTAAGCAGATACTTCCCTTGGCAATTCCCAGCGCTGGTGGTGAGAAGGATCTTGCTTACATCTCCCTCTAGATGAAACCCTGGCACTTTGGCATGGACACACGAGCCACTTCCAAGAATTTTTGGAAATTGTGAAAGCAATATTTTTACTTTATAAAACATTCAGTTTTCAGGGTTATGTGACACAAACCAGAGCTGGGCTTTGCAGTTTGGTAAATGTTCATAAACTAGGGGAGGCATAGGCAGTCTGGCTGCAGGAGCAGAGGGTTCTTTTGCTGTCACCRGTGTAATGGGGAAGAAAGCAAGAACCAGTGGGATCCTGGGCCCCTAAAAGTCCTGGTTTTAATCTCTTTGCCTTTCTTTCAGCAGAAAGTTCTTGGGATTCCCGGAGGCTCCAGCAATCCAGTAATTACCTGGTGGTCCGATTATGTGCGCTGATCCCAGTAAGCTCTGCTGGGTGTTTTGGCCAGGAAGGGCCTGGTGGTCTCCCAGACTACAGCACACTGCCAGGGCCTTTCCCATATCTCAGTAGCTTTCCAAGGCAGTCCTTATGTCCCTGTTTTTCTGTGGTCTCAAGGTAGGGTGGAAGTGGAAAGGCCTGGCAGTATGCACACCTCTCACTCACCCCCAAATGAATATTTTGCCAGTGTCCTGAGTTCCCATAGCAGAAGACTGGATAGCAGCACAGCAAGTGAAACTGAAGCACAGATACTTCCTTCTCTTGCAGTTTTATTTCACTTCCAAAAAGAAAAAAAAAACGAAACCAAAACAAACAAACAAAAAAAAAACAAAACAAAAAACAAACAAACAAAAAAAAACAACCCCAAAAAACTAGGGTGGGACAACATGTGTGAAATCAGGCAGGAAGGGAGTTCCCACAATGGGAGTTCAGAAGGGCTGATCCTAAGGGGCTGTGTCTTCCTCCTCCTCCTCCTCCTCCTCCTCCTCTTCTTCTCCCTTTGAGGTATGGACTTGGTAGATGACAGCACAGATGCCGGCCAGCCAGGCTGCCATGGTGCCAGCCAGAAATATGCAGAAACCAACGAGGCACAGAAAGACATAATCTTGCTTGGACAGCTGGGTCAGGCAGCTGAAGTGGAGCTTTGCCTCTGCTGCTGGCATCCTGAGGGCATGCAGGCCTGCTGGGGTGTAGCAGGTGATGTTGTCAGCATCTGCAGAGGGACAAGCAGAAGTAGGACTCTCTAGCCTGTGTCATAATTAAATGAACGGGAGTCCTGGTAGAAAAATGATGGGAGTGCTTGCTAAAAGCCTGAAAAATATCTCTAGAGTTCACCCTGTCTCCTTTCATGGCTTGGGTGAAATCTGACAGCCAGACTCATGCCAAACCTGTGCTAAATCCTTGCCAAACCACAACTCCCAGGTTGTCAGAATGATTTCTGAGGTGTTGGCTCCATAGGAAAACATTACSTGGTTGATTATGCCACTGTGGCAAACTGCTGTCCCTGCCCTGCTCATCTCTGGTRATTGAGCACCTTCATCTTCATATGAGAGCACCTGTGTTTGTTGTTTTTTTAAAGTCTCAAACACCTTCTGAAGTGATACAGCCTAAATTATGCTGGAATAATGAGGCTGCTGTGTGTTTGACAGCGAGGGTGGTTTGCAGTTCGAACAGCCTTACCTGCTCTGTGAGGGAAGCAGAGGCAGCTCATCAATGATTCAGTTCCACTGAAATAACAACCATAYCCTGTCATATTGCAATATCTGCAGTGATAAACAGTCCCTCTCAAGTTAGGGAAGGATGCCTGTGGTACCTGTGGAAGCAGGGTGTGTCCTCAGCCATGGCCCTCTCCTTCCTCTGCAGGTTTGGAACCCCACAGACACAGTCTGGGCTGGGCATGGGTTGGGCACTGCTTCATGGACAGGATGGAAGTGCCTGAGGGAAAGGGAGCTACAGGCAGGGCACTGCTTGATGCATGGGATGGAAAGGGAGTGGTGGAGGGGAACAAGCTATGGGGGATTTATTTCACATTACATTGTATGGTATATGACTGAGTGACATTGCTGCTGTGGTTGTTCATGCTGATCTCACTCCTGGTCCTGAATAAAACTGGAGAGATTTTATCTTTCTGTTCCCCAAATCCATGCTACCTTGGGCAGCTTTGAGTCAGCCTCCAGGCTGCGCAGATCCAGCTGAGCCCCAGACACTGGTGCACAGATGTTTGTGAAGGTCAGTAGCCTTTCTAAGGGCCAGGCTGGGGTCTGCTTCTGGCAGAAATGTTCCTTTGCCCTGGAACAACCCTTGTTTTAAGACTGCCTTTCCTACTCCTACCCTCCCCAGCTGCCTCCAGTGAGCTTTATTCTCCTGTTGCAGGGTTCAGTGGGTTATCTCCAATCTCACTGCTAAGAGCTGTACTTTATTTCACTGTTCCATAATTGCCTGTAACCTGTATGTGGAAAAAAACCCACTTTATTGTCTACAAGGAGYTTACTACATCTAACAAAGGCACTGAGATGCCTTTAATTCAGTTCTAYCCTAAGCAGCTTCCATTTGCCCTTCCCTTTTTTCCCTTTGGGTTGTTTTGTGGCCCTTTCTTATCCAACGGACAGACTYTCTCCAACAATTTCTCTCTCTAACCATGGTGCCCCGTGTTACTGAAACCAAAGCTTTACTCAATTATTTGTGCTGTGCTGTGTCTCTTTCCTGTCTGCAAAAACCAAGCTCATGTGCTGCAGCTGCAGAGCAAAACATCACCCTTGGGACCAGTATTTTTATGGGAAAGGGAACTGGTGATTACCCTGCYTTGGCCTCTCCAAGGCCCAGTCGTAGAATCTCTCAATATGAGAGCTGGGAAACAGCTGATTTTGGGGTGGAGATAAGGCAGGAAATTCAGAGGAATGATTTTCCCAGTGCACATCTCCCTGGAGCTGTGTTGGGCTCCTCGTTCTTGGCACTGCAGCCATGGGGTGCTGTGCAGGCACAGGGACACCTGAGGCTGGATCCAGGTGTTTTAGAGCAGCAGCAATGTCCCAGGTACAGGCTACACCTCCCTGGCTGCCCTGGGGATGTGAACAAGAGTGACTCACTGTGTTTGGAGTGTGTGTAACCCAGCTGCTCCCATCCCTGCTTTGTGCCCTCATTGACATGCAGTGATCCAGCCCCGTGAGCTGAACATTTGGGAAAGAGAGCAGAGGGCCCTCTCTGTTCCACAGTGGGAGCAGGGAGGAGACAGGTCCTGTTCACACACCCCTTACCTGGAAAATGCACATTGCTGTCCGTCATCCAGGTGATGAAGTCCAGAAAGGAACAGTTGCAGTGCCACAGRTTCTCACTGAGCCCCAGAAGCCTCAGGTTGGGCAAGTCCTGGACGGTGCTGGTGTCCAGGAAGGTTAAGCCCGTCCGGCTCACATCCAGGTGCCTTAGCCAGGTGTTGTTGGAGAAAGCATCCTTCTCAATGGCCACAAGGTTGGGATTGTCCGAGATCTTCAGCACCACCAGGCTGAGGAGGTGGGAGAAGGTGYTGAAGGTGACCTGTGTGAGGTTGTTGAAGCTGAGGTCCAGATAGACAAGTTTGGCCACGCCAATGAAAGTGAAATCCAGGTCATCCCCCAGGAGGTTCTTTCTGCAGTCCAGATAGACCAAATCAGCCAGGAAGCTCAATTCCACTGCCGGCAGATATGAGATATTGTTTGCTGCCAGAATCAGCTGCCTGGTGTCCAGAGGGATGTCCACAGGGAACTCCTGCAAATGCTGCCCGGTGCAGTTCACCTCCAGGTACTGACAGCTACACCTGCTCGGGCAGTTGATCCCCTCTGGTGCCATCCCCATCYCCAAAAGGAATATGAGGCTCAGGGACCATGGCCTTCCCAAAGGAGACATGGTTTGAGACCTTCCAGGCCACTTAGCCCTTTGTGGACTGCRAGCAGCCCTGTGGAAGCTGCATTACCCTCCCAGCCATGCCGAGGAGGTGCCCAGCTGCAAGGCTGTCRGGAAGCACTTTGTGTCCGTGGCTCACCTGAGCCCTTGGCAGAGTGCCCAGCTGGAAACTGAGCCTGGCTTTTACAYTGGCAAGTGCAGAACAGTGGCTGGAGTGTCTCTGTCTCACACTCGGTGCCAGGTGACACCAGGTGACACCTCTGTGATGTGATGTCAGTGGCTTGCAGAAGCTGCTTTTCGGAAACAGTGCTGTGACCTCGCTGAGCTGCTTCCAGATGAGTGGAGGTGCAGGAAGCTGTGGGTGGGATGGGAGCATCAGAACTGTGTAGGAAGAGCATCAGCAGTCCAAATTCTGTCAGAAATGGTGTCATACTGCAAAAGGTGCTGATACTGATAGGCAAGAGCCCTGTCTGTGCAATGCTGTGCTGGACTGGTGGTGTCTCCTTGCAGGAGGCAGGAGGTTCTACCCCAACTGGAGCAGCACATTCAGATCTGGGGACCTCAGCACAAGATGTGGAGCTGTTGCAGTGGGTCCAGAGATGCCATGAAGATGCTAAGAGGGCTGGAGCTCTGCTGTGGGTATAGTCTGATAGTCTGCGCAGCCTGGAGAACATTCTGGGACATCACCTAAAGGGTTTATGAAAAACAGGGAGCGACCCATTGCACACGCAGGTAGTGACAGGACAAGGAGGAATGTCTTCAAACTGAGAAGCCAGGTTTAGATTGGGCGTTATAAAGAAATTGTTCCATGTGAAAGCAGTGAGGCCCTGGCACAGGCTGCTCAGAGAAGCTGTGGCTGCCCCCATCCCTTGAAGCGCTCAAAGCCAGGCTGGACGCGGCTTGGAGCAACGTGGGATAGTGGAAGGTGTCCCTGTCCATGGCAGGGGGAAAACTAGGTGAGCTTTAGGGCCCGTTGCAAGGATTCCATGACTCTTCCAGAGGCCGTGACAGCCTCAAGGCTCCGAAGGGACTCCAGCGCCTGACGCCGCCGCTCCCCTCACGGCCAACGGCCGAGCGGGGCGGGGCCTGCCCGAGCCACGCCCACTCACCACAGCGCGGCCGCGGATAGGCCCGGGGAGGGCGGGAACACATCGAGCCCCGCCCTCACAGTGACGAACCGGTTTCTGATAGGTCGGCGGGGGAGTGGGGGCGGGGCGTGGCGGATTCAAGCGGCGGGCGCGCGCCGGTAGCGCCGTTGTGTCCCCGCCACCGCCGTGTCCCCAACGCTGCCGTGTCCCCAACACGCCCCTGCCGCCGCCATGGAGACCATGACCTTCCCCCGCTACAGCCCCGACGACATCATCAGCTACCTTCGCTCGCACATCCTGGCGGGCGCTGAGGCCCGCAACCTGGTCAARGGCGACGTGTTCGGCAACCCCAAGGTGCGTGAGGGGAGCGCGGGGCGGCTCCGTGCCCCGCCCGCTCCCGTGTGGGACGGACGCGCTGCCCGGGGTTGGGTGGAACGCTGTTGGGTTGGGCTCCCAGGAGCCCCAGGGCTCTTCTTGTCTCTCGGGCCTCGCCGGGACGTGGGGTGGTGTCACCAGCAACACCCGGCCTGTCTTTCCCAGTTCTGTGGGAACCCACTGTGTCTGGTCACGTTGCATAATTCCATCAGTTTCCCTGATCAATTGAATGCTTTTAAACCCAACCCTACTTTTTAAACCTCTCCTTGCTTCAACCCCTTTCATCACTTTGACCACTTAGTGTTAGCGAGTGTCCTCGGCAGAAGAAAAGTGGCTTTAAAGTGGAATTGATGCCTTGGAGTGGTTCCTGGTGCTGTTTTTGGCCTGCAGAGGGAGTGGTCTGGTCCTGCTTGTTTAGGAAATGACAGGACAGATGATGGTTTTAAAAAAGCAAAATTGATCATGGATTAATGCTGTAAGTGAAAAACTGGTTTGTAAATTTATTTATTTTTTCCCTCTTCCTTTTTATAATCTAATGAAGGACACTCGTTGCTACAGGATTATAATTTCTRTGAGGTTTTTTTTTTTGTTTTTGTTGTCACTTGATTTGGAAACTGCTCAGCAAGCAGCAGTGTATTGAAAACCACTGCCTGGTGTATACAGTCAGGGCTGTAGTTGTCCGATCTGACTGCTGTCCCTTAAAAGTGAATTATGAGCAAGTAATGCTTGAACTGCAAAGTGTTGGAAAGTGAAACTTGTTTTGTCGTGAAATTAGCTTTCATGTGTTTAAAGCTGAACTGCTTTCATGGCCTGTTCTGGGAGCCATGAGTAATCAAACATGGAATTCTGATTCATGTCCTCTCTTCCTGCAGCTTGACATTTTGCACCTGATTTACATGAGAATCCTGCAGAAAGTGTATGGGATCCGCCTGGAGCACTTCTACATGGTAGGGCTGCCGGTGGCAGGGATGATGGAATGTGAAAGKGAAAGAATTTTGCACTTACTTGTTCTTTGGGATGCTGAGGGTGTCAGAAATGTCTGTAAGGTCCAGGGAAGGACTGGCCAGGCTGATGGAGGGACACCATGGCTAGCTTGAAAATCCATTCTGGGCTCTTGGGCGTCTGCCTTTGGCCACGGCTGGAGGAGTTCAGACTGATCTGTAAGGAATGCAAATGTTGCTTTGGATACTTGATCATCTCCACTCCTCCAACAGCTGAGAGGAAAGTAAAGATAGGCTGGCGCGTTGCTGGCTATTGGTTCGTTTATCTACTCTTATATTACATTTATTACATTTACGTCTCTATTAGGCATCCCTGAAAGTGGGAGCAAAGAGTTTTGTCTCATGGAATTTCTGGATAAACTGAAAGGGAAGAGCAAATGTGCACAAGATAACTCTGTTCTTCCCAGGCAATGACATCAGCTGCCATACTGTATTACGAGGTTCAAAATATCAGAGAAAAGGAACAGTGTACCAGTATATTCTCCCTCTGACTTCTTCACAAAGCAGTTAAATATGTTAATTTTTGAATGTTTAAAGAAGGAGCTTCTTGCTGGTAGCTGTGTAACGCAGAGACTGTTGTCCTGCAGCAGCTATGAACAAGTTAAAACAGAGTTTAAATTGACTTTGAGTTTGTAATGTTGCTGCTTTAGTTATTATTGTCTTTTTATATCTTTTCCAGCCAAAATTGACACTTAAAATACTCTGCTGATTTAACTTGATGACATTTTCCGGCCTTTAATATGTGTTCCCTGGGGATGGGAAGATCATCCTCAGTGTTTTTAATCTATTGGAATTATTTTATGCTGTGGAAAATGCTGCGTGATTTTTGTTTTGATTATTGTCTACTTATGCACTGCCCTCTTGTCTCTTTAGATGCCAGTCAACGTTGACATTACATACCCACAGATCTATGAAGGCTTTCTACCTGTCTGTAATTTGTATATTCACATGTAAGTAGSTGATGCTTGCCTTGTGCTTGCTGGGCAGATGCTCTGGGATAAGAGGACAAGATCTTTTTTGTGGTAAATGGCTACAGCACAAAACCTGAGTCATGGTCACTGCAGTTGAGGTTGTTTTGTTTTCCTTGCAGGGAGCGCTTGCTGCCAGTGTGCCGGATTAATGACTTTCAAATTGCTGATGTTTTAAACCCAAGTAAGCAAGTACATTGTAATCCTTGTGTTTCCTGGGGTGCTGGGTGTTGCTTGATATTCCAGGTGCTTTTTTCATTGGGCATAGCCAGACTGGCATCCAGTGTGAAGTGTCCCTRACTTCCAGCTGCTCTGGTGACCCTCAGACAAGCTGGTTCTAGTGAGCAGTTCTTATTTCTTCTGTAGGCTGAGGCAGGTCAGTAACTGTAGGCAGTTTTGAATGCTAGGAGTCTGATGAACTTCTGATCTGGAGATGGGCTGTGACATACTTAAAACTGTGTAATAATAATAGATGGTGATGAAAATTACCCTGACAGCTCTGGAATGCTTTAGGATTTCTTTTTTTTTTTTTTTGATGCCTGTGCTCTACTCCTTTCAATACACACTTGTGGTGATTCTGCTACAACACAAACAACTTGGAAAAGGCCGCTCTGAAGAACCCTTTCACTTCAGGATCTATCTTGTCTAAGACATTCAAAGCTTTTCTAATCATCTTTCAGAAAGTTTGCTTGGAATAAAGCCAAAAAGTCTCTGCAGTTCAAATTGCTGCCTTCAGTTAGGCTGATAGCTACAAAAAGGTTCTCCCTTCAGAGCTGCAGTTCAAGACTGACACTTTCTCCTTGGCTTCTGTTTTAAGGGAGACTGTGTGTTAACAATCTTTTCTTCCAGGTGCCAATATTAATTTGTTAAATTATACAGAATTGCTGAGAGTTTATTGCTAGCTGGGTGCTAGTTTTGGTGTAGTCTGAAATCCTTGCAAGCTGAGTGGGGGAAAAACTAATTTGGATTGTTTTGTAATTTCTGTCTCCTCTGAATTATGCTTTGCCCAACTTTTTTTGAAGCAATTGCAGTGCTTGTAGAAATCAGCCCAGTGAGGTCTTGCAATTCCTATTACAGAGACAAAGAGGACTGTTCGCTTCTTGAGTGGCATCCTCAACTTTGTGAACTTCAGGGAATTCCGGCGGGAGGTCTACTTGGAGCTACAACTGAACTATGTAAGACTGGATGCTGTTTTATTTCAGTTACCTATTTAAGTACAATTCATATTAATGTAGAACTAGGAGCAGAAAGGTTGTCTTTAACTTCAGGTTTATGAAACATGTTGGGATGTTAAATATAGCCAAGGAATACAGGAAGGTACTGATTGTTACTTAATAATTGGCAAAAAAAACCTTTCAGTAATATCCTATTTGATACTTTAGCCTGATAAATGAAGGATTGATACCTTGCATTGTTTTGAGAAAAAACTGGGTGCAACAATTGTAGGTGGTGGTTTCTCTTTTGAATGTCTCAGTAGTTCAGTTGTGAAATAATGATGAGCAAGGCTCTAACAGAAGCCCAGAGAGAAACTTCTCTAAAGTGAAATATTTAACTTGCAGAAATCAGCTATGGAGAAACACCAGCAACTGGAGGCTGCGAATCGGGAGGCAGCAATGAAGCTGGAGAAACTGAAGTGGGTGTGAGGAGTAAGCACTGTGAGATGCATTGTTTGCCTTTCCTGCCCAGGCTGGATCACTGGGCTGAGGCTTAACAAGGCCAAGTAGAGAGCCCCCTTGGGTCATAATAATTTGGTTCAATGCTGCAGGCTTGGAGRAAAGGGGCTGCACAATGGCCCAGCAGAAAAGGACCTGGAGGTGCTGGTTGACAGCTGCTGAACAAGATCCAGCAATGTGCCCAGGTGGCCAAGAAGGCCAAAGACACCCGGCCTGTATCATCAGTAGTGTGGCCAGCAGGACCAGGGCAGCAATTGTCCCCTGTGCTGGGCWCTGGTGAGACCACACCCAGAGTCCTGTGTCCAGTTCTGGACTCCTCACTGCAAGAAGGACATTGAGGGGCTGGAGTGTGTCCAGAGAAGGGAACAGAGCYGGGAAAAGTCTGGAGCACAGCTCTGATGAGGAGCAGCWGAGAGAGCTGGGGATGTTTATTCTCTGCTGACAGAGAAAAAAAATTAATTTTACAGTATATGGTTGCTTTGAGAGAATCCTCTCTTTGCATGCAGGGGACTAGGGTGAAACTTTTTTGTCTTAGTTTTTAGTGCTGCGTCTTTATCTCTTCAATAGCTGTGGGAAGCCCATCTTTAACTTAACAGATGAGTAAAGTTGTCTTCCTTAGTTATTTGACATGTTTGCCACAGTCTCTGTTTCAGGCCATTTAGCTCTACTGCCTGTGTCTTTGCACCATTAAGTTTTGTTTTTGCTCGTGGATAATAGGATGAAGAAAATGGCTGGTTTCCAAGAGAGCTTTCAAAACAAAGAGTTTTTTTTCTGACAGCTGCTCTTGGTGTGTGCTACACAGGGGGTTCTCTAACTGGGATAGGTCTTCACTAATATAAGCTATTTGTATGACAGGTAAAATGCAAATTTCATAAATGAAAATCACCACCAAAATTGGTAGGAGTGTTGTACTTTCATGCTTTGCTTAACATGATCTTTAAACTTAGTCCTCTGTCATGCTTGTACCACTTCTTGCCAAAATAGCTCTTTAGATTATGCTTCAACTGCAAAATCTTACAGGCAAAGGAAAATAAGATGAGACTGTCTTGCTCTGATTGCTAAAGTTACTATCTGTAAACTCTTCAGAGACAGTGATTGTTTTATCTGCTGTACTCTGACTGGACTATAATGTTGCTGAAACTGCCCAATATCTTTATTTTTCCCTTAGCACAGTTCCAGTTGAACATCAGGCAGAGGTCAAGCAGCTCACRGAGAGCATTCGGGAGCTGGAGCAGCTGCTGAGGCAGGACTATCGTCGGAAACAGGTGGGATCTTGTTCTGTATTTCTCTGAAAATCTGCTATGGGCTCCTCACTTCTGTTGGTTTTATTCCCTTCCCTCTAATTCAGTGGATAAAGGGCACTTTTCTGATTTAAAACAGTGGCCATTTTAACAAAATGCTGTCTGGCCCCTCTTCATTTCACTRTAAGGAATGTGAAACATGCTTGCAATCAGACTTGGAGAGTACAAAAATGTGTTTGACTCTCTTTTTGAAATGCATTTCTGCAATGGCTTTAGGAGATTGGAAATGTGATATGTATATTATCTTATGTTTTCCATTTGAATTCAAAGAATTGGAGCTGCAGGTGAGCCATGGCAAGAAATGAGGCCTAAGAAAGGTCACCCAAGGGAATGCCTGGCAAAAAGAGTAGAGTTAATTGCAGGGGTAACTTTTCAACAATGGGAAYTTGCCTCTCAGGTCTCATAGATAACCTTTTCAGCTGCTTTGGGAGAGAGAAAATAATAATYTATGGTTAGGATTTTTTGTTATGTCAAGTCATGTCTCTACTATTAATATTATTAACCATGTATTTGACTATTATTTGGGACTTTATGTTAAATTAGATTCTTTCCCTGAAGAACAGGACCTCTGGCAAGAAAAGTTGTGGGGTCATTGTCAGGGTCAATAAAAATAGARGTGGTCAGTCTCTTATCCCTTTTCCTAGTTAGCCACTCCTGGCTGCATCCCTAATGCTTCCAGGGGCCTCAGTGACAATATTCTCCTTCCCTGTCTGCAATTTTACAGTTTTGTCTGCTGGTTATGGCCCTCCAAAGGGCCCATAAAGGGGATTTCTCCTGTGGACAGATCTATGATAGGAGGATAAGGCAGGTAGCAGCTGTAGAGATGCTTATTTAAAGCTTGGTGCTTTTTTCAGACAGCTTTGCAAGAAGTGATTTCTCAAAAGAAGACTGATATTGCTGAGAGCACCCGAAAACTGGTGAGTACACCTCTGTGTGGGTGAAGGCTGAAGCTTCCATCTCAGATCAACTGAGAGATCAGAACTCTTTCTAGCATCAGATTATTCTTGGAATTAGGTCAGTAGAAATCTGGACTTTTGAGGTGCTGTGGGTTTGCTTCACATGCCTAGAGTGGGGTAATGACCAGCACTCACCTGGTGGGGACAAAATGGGAGGTTTTGAGAGGCTGCACAGGAAAGTTGTTGCTCTTCTCCTAGCTTGATGGAGCTGCCTCTGGACCCATGCAGTGACTGCCTCAGTTTCCCTAAATTAGGGGCTCTGAGGGAGAGACTGCCTCAGTTTCCCTAAATTAGGGGTTCTGAGAGAGAGCTGCTGGTAATATGGCAGGCTGGATGGGGCTTGGAGAATGTTTTCAGGTGGAAGGTGTCCCTGCTCATGGCAGGAGGGTGGAATGAGATCTTTAAGGTCCCCCCCAACCCAAATCATTCTAGCTGGCAGACTCTTTGTGGAATACTATTCAACTGCTGTTCTTGTGCACCCCTGTAAGAATATTTGGGAAGAAAAATGGGCTGTTAATTGCTTTGATTTGGAATGTTACTGCTGTTTAGAGGAATTTATTTTTAAAACTTCTTAATGAGGAATGACTACAAGCAGACCAAAGAACCTGTCTAATCATAAGATTCTGGCAAACCTTGCTACACAATTCCTCCTTGTTAACCTAATTGCTGATACTGAAAATGTGTGTCTTGTTGACTAGAATGACCTTAAAGTGACTATGGCTACTTTGAAAGAAGAGCAAGAGCAGCTGAAATCCAAAATTGTGGAGAGTCCAGAGGARCTGAAAAATTACAAAGAACTGATGAAAGAGACTGTTAAGAAATTGAAGAAATCTAAGGTGAGGTTTTCCTCTGTCCACACAAGGAGGTATTCTATTAGAAAAAACGTGTTTAATTGGACTGTCATCTAGAACTGCTTCTTGAATGATGGTAAAACACCAAAAGGGCAGTGGTTAGTCTGAAATGAAATCACAATTTCAGAGAAAACTGAAAGTTCATGATAGAGGTGGTGATTTGTTTTTGATGGGCCTTATTTTTTTACTTTTTGAAAAGCAGATTGCAGTCACTTGTAAAACTAGTTGTAGAACTCTTGAATCTGTAYCTGCCTGGCTGTTTGCTCTCAAGAGGTGACAATATTTTGGCAGCTCTCAAATGTCTTTGGATTKAGAACATGTGCTTCATAGTGCTTCTGTTGTCATTCACTGTTTCTGGAATTGATGGCTGTYTCCACTAGTATGTGAACACTGAATTCCCTTCCCAGCTTTTTGAGGTTTTATTTTATTATTATAATATCACTAATTTTTGTGGTTTGTGATTGCTCACACATCAGTAAAGTTTGCACTTTGCCTCTGATGGTGTTTCTGTTCCAGAGGTTTAAACTTGATCACTRTAATTTCAGGCACGGTGTTTTATAYAACTTTTGTTTCACCAGTATGAAATTTCTTCACTGTCCTTTTTTTTCCTGAAAGCTTCTGAAAAAAGCTGGTTAGTTCAGTGTAAAACATTTGCATATCACCTTTTTTTCTATGCTACCAAAAAATGTTGGGGTTTTTTTTCCCCTCAAACTGAAGAGCTCATTTCAGTAACTTAAATATTATTTTTACTGTCTTTAACCAATGAGTAAAGGGTTCAAAAGTCAATATGCTTTAATACTATATAAAAGAACTCCAAARCTGTTTATTTAATAGTCTTTTTTTTCTCTTTAAAGCAAGAAGTTATTGAGAAATATGAAGGTTACAGGGACCTAGTTGAAGTTTTGCCAGCATGCCAACTGGAGGTGCAGTTATACCAAAAGAAGATGGAGAGACAGGGAGCAAATGTGGAGAAACTGGCCAGTGTATTATCAGAGGTTTGTATTATCCAAATTATATCCTATTAGGGAGAATTTGATGTCTAAGCAATGTCTCCCTCTCTCGTCTTCCCTATAAAAAATGACATTTTGTAGTTTAAAGAAAGAAATTCTTTCTTTAAAATGTCAGTAAAACATTGCTGCTGCTTTGCTGGGTGGCACTAGCTAATGTACTATGCACCAGCTATTGACCACTTTGAATAGTCAAAGCCTTTGTTGCCATAGAAACCTGACCTAAAATAGTTGGAACTGTCTTGGGGTTGTTGGTAGGAAATGATGGGAAAAGAAAAGTGAAATCRGGTTTCTTCTGCCTTGAGAGCAGAAACTAAGAGCAAAAATTGCTACTTCAGGAAAAGTCATGCCTTAAGTGCCTTTAACTTTATTAATGTTACTAAGCCAGACATTGTCTGATGAAATGTTGGTCACAATACAGTACCTTGCTATTTGCTACTAGGTTTTGGAAGAAGGCAGCATTTGAAAAATTGAGTGGAGCCTTTTTGAGTATTTGTATAGCATGTGTTCAAATTTCCCTTGGSAAAGAGCTACAGCAGAAGTCCCAGTCACTTCTGAAAGTCATCCTAAGTGGTGGGGTCTTGTTCWTTTGGATGTATTTATAATCAGATAAAGAGTAGTGAAGTGGGAGAATGAATGAGCCTGGCAATCAGATCTTCAGCAAGCAGCCAGCTAGTTCTAGTGTTAGTACCTTCACAGGCTATGCTGTCTTTATTATTTCCCCCCATTTAATTTATTTCTATTTAATTTATTTCTTTACTTTTGCACTCTAGGTCAGAAACCTGGAGGACCAGATTGACAGTGCTCAGGCAGAGCTGAAAAATGCAAAGACAGATGAAATGTCCTTAAAGAGAGTGGTCACTGCAAAACATGAGAGGCTTTCTACAGCTGAGATAAGGATTAAAAAGATGCGTGAAGATGTGGAGCAGCACAAGTGCACTGTGCTTGAGTATGGAGGAGTTGATGTTTCTGCCTGATGCTGCTTTATGTCTTTGTTATGTGCTGCCAAAGTTCATGTCTGCTACAAACACACAGCTTAGCAGTAAGGAGAAAATGAGCAGTGTGGGACAGCTCTGTATGARGACCAGCAATGCTGCAGGCAGGGAGTTGGGGTCTCAAATCAATAATTGCAATGTGACTTGACAGCAATTCTTTTATTGGAGCACTAATTTAATTTATAATGCTTATTCTTGATTCTTTTATCTTCTTAAAGAGAATGTCACATTGGGATAATTTTCCAACTTATCAGACTTCAACAAAGCCCCATTTGCCTTTCATGAATTTTTCATAATTTCCCTTGCCACTTTTGCTCATTATCAAAGATGTTCAAGACCCATGGGGAAATGGGGCTCGCATCTCGGAGGAGCATTATCCTGACATGATGCTTCTAAAACAAAAGGAAAAGTGTCATTTGATCAAAGCCTCTCAGCCCTTCTTCCTTTCTCCCATATGCTGAAGGCAGCTTGCAGGGCTCTGTTTGCAGCACCAAGCTGCAGCCCTGTAAGGCCCTGGCTTCAMTCTGAGATTGGTGCTGAACTGATACAGAGGAAATTTATTTTGTAACAGTTTTCTTATCCTTTCTTATACGCATAAGAAAGGCAATATGGAAATCATTGGCTGAGTAGATTAGCTGTGATGGAAGGGAGCTTCTTCCACATGGCTGAGACAGTCAAGATTCAGTCATGCTTAAGGTTTGTGTGGTGTGCAGAATGGCACTTTGTGTATTGTTCCAGCTAAAGGAAATTATTTGGAAGGGAAATAGGTTGGACAGGAGGTATTTCTTGACAGAAAGGGTGATTAGACACCAGGCTGCCCAGGTGAARTCACTGCTGTTAGTACTAACCTTTTTCCTCTCACCTTTAGGCATTGTAACAAAGTCCAGGAGAAGAGGGGYGCTGTATATGACAAAGTGATGGCCATTCACAAGGAAATCAAACAGATGAAGGGCAAAATTGAGCAGCTGAAGGAGGATGCTGAAGAAAAAGCAAGGAAATCCAAGGTGAGGTTTTTTAAACCATGGATGAGATACCACTGAAATAATGAATCCACCAGACCACTCAAGATTCATGCTTGATAAGGATTTAACTGTGTGATGGATTTTTCTTTTCCCTTCTTTATTTTCTCTTTCTAGGAAATACACCTAATGTGGAAGGCTGTGTTGGAGAAGACTCATGAATCTCTCCTTAAGACAGTGAAGAGTTATGCAGCCTCAAGAGCAGAAAAAGTTGATGAAATAAGGAGAGGGCTGCTCAGCATTCAGTCTTCTGGAAGTAGCTCTTAAGCCTGTCTGCACTTGTGTTCCACTTYTGTTATGTTTGTGCTCATAACTGAACTCAAGAGCTTCTGCTTTGCATGGGAGGGATAACAATTCCRGGCAAATCCAGCTTTCTTAAAAGCCATGTCACAACATGCTTAGCTTCCCAGGCAGATCCTGATGTCWTGAGCTCACTGATATGGATAAGAAAACATTAAGTTTCTATTGTTTCAGTCAGCACAGGCTTTAGTGGTAATACTGCAAGTCTTACTAACACCAAATTGTTCAGCATTTTAGACAGAATGCTGTGTTTGCAGTTTGCAGTTCACAGTTCTGCAGTCTTTGATCTGGGAGCACCTGTTCAAGATAAGTCAGTAAGAGGTGATGTTCCACCATCATCATTCAATTAATATTAAATCCAGACAGAGCAGTAGCATCCAGTAAATGCTGGATACGAGTTACTCGTATCACAAATATTTGTAAGTGTATATTTGTAAACATTCAGAAGTATCATTTTAATAATCAGTACCCTCCCTCTCAATGCTTACACTTTATTGTTTCTGCTCTGTGGTGTATTGAACCCTCATCTGTGTTTATCAGTCTGTGTTAGGATGCTCTTAAAAATTATAATTGATACTTGTACCTTAACTTGTGATGGCACTTGGTGTGCCACAGTGGTTTTAATTATTTGGAAAAATAAAATGTTAATTTTTACACTATTTATATAAGGATATTTAACCCCTTTTTTCTTGTGTCTTTCCCTCTGCATGCCCCTAACTGACTTGGAATAACACTTCACTAGAAAAAGTTTGCTTTGTACATTTGTATGAATGTGTGTTACAAGCAGTTTTTTATGATAGAAGGAGGAGGATGATGCAAGGCATGTTTGTARTTTCAGTTCTTCATCTCTTATTAACCAGAGGTGCTAGCAAGTCAGGAACAGCAGGTGCTTGTTTTTTTAGAGCTCTTATGGAGGCATCAGACCTTCTRAAGTTTTGCTTTAAGAAACTTCCARTAGGTACTGCAAGGGATTATTCCAATCAGCAGATCAAGATTCTTAGGCTACAGAGATGATGCTGGTGTACCCCAGTGATGAGGAATTTGCAGGCGAAAGAAAAAGCTGGATTCTGGTTCCTTCTCTCAGGAATTTTGCCACTCCAGCTCTTGGGTAAAATACAAGGCTGCAATTTATAAAGAGAGAAATTCTGATTTCCAGGGACAGGTAGATTTTTGTATTTCCAACAGGTTTTTGTGCTTTCACAGTTACCTATCTATTTGTACCTAAAATATTTACTGATAAAATATAACCAAAGTATATTTTATCTAGAGATAATTGATTCCTAGGTGTGAGTCTACTGCTGCTTTTCAAAAACATCTACCCACCTTGAACCATATGGCAAGGCAGTGGGGGGAGTTTAGTGTGGCCTGAAGAGCAKGGAAGGGAGGATGGCTTTGCTGAGGCAGTTCAGCTCCCTTTCCCTCAAGAGGGCACTGTTAGTCAAAATTTTGTTTTTTGTTTTCTTTCTTTTTTTGTTAGTTCATGTGCCTTAAGCACTGTTTAAAGGTGTAGTTAATTTTTTTTTTTTTGTTTTGCACATACTTCAGTATTTCATATACAACATAAAGCTTGTAGCAAATTTGTATTGTACTGCTTGGGCTGGCCACACTTGTTTGAAATGTTATGAGTTAGTAACAATATTCTGAAAGTAAGTTTTAAAATTATGCAAGCAGAAAAATTAATAGTGGCTAAGGTGGGAAATGGGTGAATTATGGCTTGGCACAGCATATGAACACAAAACTCCAAGAGGTTGTGTATTACCTTTTCCCCAGCATAAGGGAAGGAAGGAAACCCCTTTATCACTCCTCTGTTATCACTCCTCTGTTTTGCCTTTACTTCAGAGCATGGCTGGAAAGATCTTCAGWGCTGTGTCTCAAAAGCCAGATTTTCTTTAGGTTTTTGCATGAAATTAGGTGAGCCAGGTTTGTATTTTCAAATACCTGGACCCTCCTGCTGTGGCTGTGGGATGAGCTGGAAGAGGAGCTGGTGTGCTGGCCACTTGGTGGGGATGTTGGCACGGAGAGTGGCCCTGGATTSGTGTTCCATTCCTGCCACAGCTCTGCTGAGGAAGCCAAAGGAAACCTGAATCTTCAGCCTGAGGATAACAGCTCTGCAGCTAGACAGGCACATATCCTAGGACTAGCCAGGACCAGGTAAGCTACAAACTGAAACTCACAGATGTTTCCATCTAAGGATATGATCCTTGATGCTGCCAAAGTAGGGAGCTACTCCGGAGGAAGGAGATGGAGGCTGCACTTGAGAGTCTGTTCCCCATTATTTGTGCAGGGGAATAGAAGAGAGTTGAAATTGGCTCAAGTGTGTGTAAATCATGAGGTTGTGAGGTGCAGAATAAAGGAATCTGGTGGATAAAGTGTTTTAAGTCTTTCATATCTGGGGCATGTTTTGGAAAGATTCTCTTGATGTGTCCMCCCAACTCATTAAAGGCAATCCTTACTCTAACACAGTAAAATAAATGGCTGGAGATACCTGGGAATAAAACCAAAGAAAACTTGGAGCTGCATGTCCAAATTCTTGTTTCCTGCTAGATTCCTCATTTTCTGAAGCTAGCAMGGCAATGCTGTTTCTTCAGATGCTGTGAATGGGGAGACTGTAACAAGATTAAATTCATAGCATTTCACATTGAGTTGGTCTCTCTTCTGTGGCTTTCAAGGGACCTCTTAATTTGTATAGTTTGCTGCTAATACTGCCATAAAAATAGAATAGAATATGGATTATAGAGTAGTGTCTTGATATTAGWGAATGCAAGACAGCAAATGGGAGTATGTATCACCTCTGCTGCAGCACACTTCAGTTTCTGCAACACAAAAAGCTTTGGGTACTACAATCTGTTGCCCCATACTAGTGAGGTCACATCTGAGTGGCAAAATCCAACAGCAGCTTTTAAAAACTGCACTAATGGCTTGTAAGGGAGATAAGTATATGTTCTTTGTATGTCTGTGACTGGAACAGGWTGCCCAGAGAAGCTGTGGCTGTCCCATCCCTGGAAGTGTCCAAAGCCAGGTTGGACAGGGCTTGGAGCAACCTGGTCTAGTGGRAGGTRTCCCTGGCAAGGGAATGAGGTGATCTTTAGGTCCCCTGCCAAACCAATCCAATTTCTATGACTTGATGGGTTTGGAGTCAGGTTTGTTCCTCTCACTCTTTATCCTTTTGTGGTGCCAAGGGGCTCTTGCTCTGCTCTGTGTAGTACCMGAGTCCCTGATGGTCTTTGCCCTTCTGTGCTGCTTTTTGGTTTTACTAGGTAGTGCAATGTCTGGAGTGAGACAGGTCCTTACAAGTATTAAAGTAATCCCTAGAGGTGCATGTTGTTGACTCTGGAAGAAGGGAGGTTGTAGATGTGTTTGTTCACTGAAAAGTTTTACTGCCATGAGGCTTTTGCCCCTTTCCTCCCAGCCAGAAACAGAGCAAGGTGCTCAGGAGCTGRGTTTCTATGGGTAACACATCAAACAGTCCTCTGCAAAGGGACAGTCTGGAGGCTGGGATAGAGATATTGTGAAAGAAAATCACTGAAAAAAAATGTACTTTGCAAAGAGAAATGGGTATTACAGGAAAAAAAAAATTGCTATTTTTGCAAGCCGCAAGTCCACCTGGAGAGGACTGGGAGAGGCCAGTGTTTGTAGAAAATGAACAAACAAAAGGAGGGAAAACCCAGGTTATGTTGGGGTTTCCATAGCAACACAATACTTTTCCTGGAAAACTCAGATGATGAGATCTAATCTATCTGCTATTTAACTCTTGCATGCAAAGCTTTCTTTCCCTCTTTCTTGACTTACCTGTCTTCCTCCACAGCACACTCCCGAGTGATGGGTGTGCTGTCACCACACCATGGTGCTCTCCACAGGGAATGCTCTTCCTGGGACAAGGCTGTTCCTGTTCTGTTCCAAAGCACATGGAAAAGGAACAGTTTTGGAGGCAGAGGCATCTTGTGKGTGGAAGAATGACTTACCAGCTGTGCTGATCCTGGGGAGCTTCTGTGTCAGATCTGTGGGAGATTTTCTGGGACTGTTTGAAGAGTTCATCAAAGCATCCTGACTTAAATTTGTACCTGACTTMAGTTTGTACCTGGTATTCTAACCATTGAAAAGCCTCAGGTTTGGGGAATGGGAATAGCTGAGGAGATTTTTTGTGGAGGAAGGTGGAAATATGGCTGTTTTGCCTGACAAAATGGACAWCTGAGAGAGTGGGCAGCATGACAGAAGCTCATGAGATGGCTACTGGTGTCAAATATGTAGAAAGCAGTGTCTGTTCTGAGGAGAAAGKGGAGAGAGTGGATGGGAGAGACCCCATCCTGGTACAACAGAGAGGAAATGGGTTCTGTTCCCTGCTTTCTGCCCACAGCAATACTGCTCTGCTCCATCCTTGCCTCTGGTGCAGCTCCTGGCAGGAAGGGCAGAGCAGGCTTTGCAAGAGGGGCTGCTCTTGGAAGGAAAATGGGATGGAAGAGGGAGAATTTCCTCCTCTTTGGTTCTGACATTCCCTACGTTGTAAGTAGTTACAAAGAGAGGGGGATAAGAGAAGGCAGGTATCCCAAAGAATGCTGAGTCTATTGCCATAGGATCATGGAATGGTTTGGATTGGAAGGAACCTAAAAGCTCATCTTGTTCCAGCCCCCTGCCATGGGCAGGGACACCTTCCACCATCCCAGGATACTCCAAGCCTTTCCCAACCTGGCCTTGGACACTTCCAGGGACCCAGGGGCAGCCACAGCTTCTCTGGGTATCCTGTGCCAGGGCCTCACCACCCTCACAGGGAACAATTCCTTCTGTCTGATGTGTGTGGAGCAGCCTCGTTAAGAGCCTGGTGGTGCCCAACCCCTGCAATATTCAGCACAAGCAATAGTCTGTTTTAATTGGTGGGATTCCTGTTTTGGGTTTTTTTTTCTCCCTGTGTGTTGTTCTGTCATTAACCTGTTACTGCTTATTGAGCCCTGAAGATTTGTGGATAGAAAACAGCCATCATTACAATATTTAAAATAAAACCCATTCAGAGGAGTTTGAAGCCCACTGATCCAGGTAGGTGCCAACAAATAGGAAGCAGAGCTTTAATACCTCTTAACAAACCATCCCCTATCTTTAAACATTTATTCTATTTCCTCCTATTTCTCCTGACAGCCACCTGTTCARCTTGTGACCTGTTTGTAAAAATCTGCACACCATCTATCAGAGGGATACACGCACTTACAAACTTCTGTTCTGTGGGCATTAAGTAAATTATTTCTTTAAGATCATATGGCAGATCTATAATTAATTAAACCCTCCATGATATTAGCGCAAAATAATTTAGCCTTTCTAAAAAGGTAAATGTAATTTGCCGATCTGGTATTTGGAAGAATGCTTTCCCCAAAATCAATTCCTTTAGTTTCCAGAGAATAGAAATGAGAAGCAATCTCATTTTAATTATATCTCTTTATTGCTAACAAAGGAATGATTTATGCAATTAAATTAACTGGCTAGAAAATTATTCTCAGCTGGGCTGTCCTAATTCTTTGCTTTCTGAATTGCAGGCTCTTACACTTCTCTATGTAGATTAATTTTTCTGATATGCAAACAATGCTCCTTGTGTTCATTTTTAACATTTTTTATTCACAGCTCCCCTTTTCTTAGTGTCAATGACATGAGTAATATTTGTGCACTGCTGGGCTCC